CCCACGAACACTGGCTGAGTAACAGAAATATGAACACCACACAAGGGTTAAATTAAACACACAGCTGTGGATTATAATACAATCATTAACCCTTAGATGCACGAGTGACTGGACCCTTTTTGTCATTTTGGTTAAGAAAAATCACTTGTATAATATTTAGTATTATATTTTGGTTCACACTAGAAATATTTTATAATAAATGTTTCACTATTTATAATTTTAGAAATGTTTTTTACATTTTGAAAAAAACATTCCCCATAGGATCCCATAGAAATGCATGCGGGTTATTTTTGACCCACTTATGGAAGTTTGGGATAGTAATACAAAAACTACAATTTCTTAAAATGTAAATAAAAATAATGAATGGCATGATATCCAAAACATGTTTTTTGAGGAATAGCTGGAATACCAAATTATTAAAAAAATGTAATTACAAAGATACTTCAAGAAAACCACCTCTTATGCATCTAAGGGTTTAGTGAAGGTGAACATATTTCCATATTTGTTCAAATGAAACGCATTGATGGTTATGTTGTGTTAAATGTGAAGAGCTCATTAAACACTTCCAGCTGTGTGTACTAAGGTCAGTCAAGTGAAGATTATCGGTTCATTTTGCATTTATTACTTTTCTTTCAGGCATTATATTTAAAGTCGTCAAAACAAAAGTTAAAGCATAATTTATATTTGAAAATAAAAACACACAATAATCCAGTTTGTTTTCTCAGTTTTTATTTGAACGTCACAGGAAATATCGCACAGAGATTCGACAAGTTCTTTTACTGTTAAATGTTAGATATTTACAAAATGCATTCATTATTATCCACAACACCATTAAGGAAGTTTAAACAGGATGAAGATGAGACAGGATGTTTCCCCGTGTGTCCGCAGTCTGAAGATATCGACAGATGAGTTTATATTTTTACAGAACAGGAAACAGACACCCGTCCGTCGTGCTCCAGGATCTCCTACAAAATAAAGATAAAAGGAACAATATTCTTTAGTTATGATTCATAATGCATCCCGACACATTCCTCAACTTTTATTTATGTAGTTTAAATAATTAAAACATGAATATCTGTATGAAAATAAGATGCAAGCTGAAAATAAAGAAGTTGGCAATGAAATGAATGTCTGTTTTGTTTAAGATAAACAACATGAACTCCTTTTTAACGACGGATACTGTTACTGTCATTTTCTTCTAATATAACGATTGGGTACCACTTCACAATAAGACTACCGTTATAAAGGATTCATAAAGGCTTTATAATTAGGTTATTAATTAGGTTGTAAACACTTTATCAATCATTAAGAACCATTTATAAACCAGCTCTAACATAGTTTTCATACATCAACGCAGGCTCACTATTTGGCAAGATGACTAAGCCTTATATTGGCTACTTAGCTTACTTCGTCTTCTTCATCGACACAGGCTCACTATTTGGCAAGATGACTAAGCCTTATATTGGCTACTTAGCGAGAATCAACTCAGTGAGCAACAGATACCAAGGATGCTGGCTGATGAAGGAGACGAAGTAGGCTAGGTAGCCAATATAAGGCTTAGCCGTACAGATACATGTGGGCTCACTATGTGGCCAGCAACCGGTCACAGTCGCCCTGTTTATCTCATGTCTTATAAAAGCTTATTAATGATTTATAAAGTGTTCACAACCTAATTAATAAACGAATTACAAACTATTCGTAAACCCGCTATGAGGGTATTCTTGTTGTAAAGTGGTCCCGAGATTTGTTGCACTTTTCTGTCTCCGGCTTCATTATAGAAACAAAAGTGAGATGTTTTCTGTTTTAAAACCTAATAATATATATTTGAGGATAATATATACCTTATATATTTTAAGTGTGTTGTTTTAATTATGTTTTTATGAATTCTCACTCATCTTTTCTTGATCACCATTTACCTCTCATGTATTTGTTTGTTTATTTATTTGTTGTTTTTACGTATTGTTTGTTTTTCAATAACATGTATTTTTTAAAGCAAAAAATAATAATTGATATGTTAAAAATGTAGTTGTTGGGAGAAGGGTGGGATTACATCAGTGGACACTTCTTCCCGCCCCTTTTCAGATGTGTAATCATTTGTTTATATCATCAGTCATATCGTTCTTAACATTCTGCTTAAGTTTGTACAGTATCATAATTCTCTTGTTTCATTTCATTGTTATTATTATGTTGTATTATTGTTTTACACGAAATCAAATCTGCTCTATAAATAAAATGCATTATTATGATTCTAATAATAGTGAGTGTTTGCTCACAGGAAGTGATCCAGAGGCGCAGCGTCAGCAGGACGTTGAACACCACGGTCTTCATGAAGAGGAGCCGCAGCCCGAGCACCGTGAGAGACGCCAGGTTCACCTGAGGGTCTGCAAACACACACACACACACACATTTAGAAAACACTCTAATTATACTATCAAATATACGCTGTAACTATAAACATGGAGAGACTCTCTGCTCTTTAAGTTTGACATGTGTCCACATTTAACTCTTAACACTTCTACCATCAAGAGTAAACATGTGGTTCATAGTATCTGACATAAAACCCTAAATAATACATTCCCTTGCAGAACATGTCCTTTAGCCGACGCTCTGATCCAGAGCCACTTACAGGAAGTGAGACCTGATCCAGAGCCACTTACAGGAAGTGAGACCTGATCCAGAGCCACTTACAGGAAGTGAGACCTGATCCAGAGCCACTTACAGGAAGTGAGACCTGATCCAGAGCCACTTACAGGAAGTGAGACCTGATCCAGAGCCACTTACAGGAAGTGAGACCTGATCCAGAGCCACTTACAGGAAGTGAGACCTGATCCAGAGCCACTTACAGGAAGTGAGACGAGACCTGATCCAGAGCCACTTACAGGAAGTGAGACCTGATCCAGAGCCACTTACAGGAAGTGAGACCTGATCCAGAGCCACTTACAGGAAGTGAGACCTGATCCAGAGCCACTTACAGGAAGTGAGACCTGATCCAGAGCCACTTACAGGAAGTGAGACCTGATCCAGAGCCACTTACAGGAAGTGAGACCTGATCCAGAGCCACTTACAGGAAGTGAGACCTGATCCAGAGCCACTTACAGGAAGTGAGACCTGATCCAGAGCCACTTACAGGAAGTGAGACCCTACCAGGTCTACAGGTAGAGGATCCAGAGCCACTTTCAAGAAGTGCAAGAACCATAAAGATTCAAACTCCCAACGAAAAGGAAAGTGCAGATATTTTCCCTTCAAGTGAGACCCTACCAGGTAGAGGGTCTACAGGTAGAGGGTCTACAGGTAGAGGGTCTACAGGTAGAGGGTCTACAGGTAGAGGGTCTACAGGTAGAGGGTCTACAGGTAGAGGGTCTACAGGTAGAGGGTCTACAGGTAGAGGGTCTACAGTCACAGGGTCTACAGGTAGAGGGTCTACAGTCACAGGGTCTACAGGTAGAGGGTCTACAGTCACAGGGTCTACAGGTAGAGGGTCTACAGTCACAGGGTCTACAGGTAGAGGGTCTACAGGTAGAGGGTCTACAGGTAGAGGGTCTACAGGTAGAGGGTCTACAGGTAGAGGGTCTACAGGTAGAGGGTCTACAGTCACAGGGTCTACAGTCACAGGGTCTACAGGTAGAGGGTCTACAGGTAGAGGGTCTACAGGTAGAGGGTCTACAGGTAGAGGGTCTACAGTCACAGGGTCTACAGGTAGAGGGTCTACAGGTAGAGGGTCTACAGGTAGAGGGTCTACAGGTAGAGGGTCTACAGTCACAGGGTCTACAGTCACAGGGTCTACAGGTAGAGGGTCTACAGGTAGAGGGTCTACAGGTAGAGGGTCTACAGTCACAGGGTCTACAGGTAGAGGGTCTACAGGTAGAGGGTCTACAGGTAGAGGGTCTACAGGTAGAGGGTCTACAGGTAGAGGGTCTACAGGTAGAGGGTCTACAGGTAGAGGGTCTACAGTCACAGGGTCTACAGGTAGAGGGTCTACAGGTAGAGGGTCTACAGGTAGAGGGTCTACAGTCACAGGGTCTACAGGTAGAGGGTCTACAGGTAGAGGGTCTACAGGTAGAGGGTCTACAGGTAGAGGGTCTACAGGTAGAGGGTCTACAGTCACAGGGTCTACAGGTAGAGGGTCTACAGGTAGAGGGTCTACAGGTAGAGGGTCTACAGGTAGAGGGTCTACAGGTAGAGGGTCTACAGGTAGAGGGTCTACAGGTAGAGGGTCTACAGGTAGAGGGCTAATGTTTCAACTGAGGGAGAGTTTAGAAATCAACACAAATATTGAACTATTAAAAAGTGTTCCAGAAAAGCATTGGAGAGTTTATTGACCAGCTGTTCGGACACACACCTGGCTGCAAAGAGTCATCGCAGTCACCCGGTCCACCCCCTGAAACACAGCAGACACAACATATTATAATTAGCACACAATCTTTGGTCTTCATTATTAATGAATAGTAAAACAGCCCGTCATCTCAAGTGGGCGAGGCGCTCACACTATAGTCAAATAGCCTCTTGGCGAACACATTTGAGTTACTGCTGATCTGCTGTGAGCTAGCTAGCTAACGTAGCTAAGCTAGTCATTTCAGATGCAAACAGTGACAGTTATGAGACGACTAAGGGTTAGTGGCAGAGGCAGTTGATCTGCTTTATACCCCTTGGTGAATGTTTTCTAAATGCTGCAAGTGTTGTCAAGTTGCTGAAGATGTGTTTGCAATATTCAGAGCAACAACAAAAAAGCAGAGTGAAGAAAGGAAGCCGTGAATGACTCCTGCTTTGTTTGAACACTGATGATGTGTGAAGAGGCTCACCTGTCTCACACGTCTGATTAGAGGACAGGTAGCCCACCTGGTTGAACAGTGAGTCCCCCTCGATCCTCACGGCGCCCGCCCTGTTGTTGAAGATGTCACTTTTGTCTTGATCCGCAGCTCGGATTCTGCTGAAGCCGGTGGCCAGACACAGCGGCGTGGGTTCAGCCTCCAGCTTGTAGAAGGACGGCTCGTACTCTTCCTCTGAAAGACACAGAGAGGAAGATGATGAGGAGACAGGATCAAACATCGCTACCAGGGTTTGGACCGGGGGGCGATCTCCGAGCGTTTGAACGTGATGACGAGTCAACACACACTGATCCAGACACACTCACAAACACACACACACACACACACACACTGATCCAGACACACTCACAAACACACACACTGTGATTCAAACTAACACACACACACACTGATCCAGACACACTCACAAACACACACACACACACACACACTGATCCAGACACACTCACAAACACACACACTGTGATTCAAACAAACACACACACACACTGATCCAGACACACTCACAAACACACACACTGTGATTCAAACTAACACACACACACACACACACACACACTGATCCAGACACACTCACAAACACACACACACACACACACACTGATCCAGACACACTCACAAACACACACACTGTGATTCAAACAAACACACACACACACTGATCCAGACACACTCACAAACACACACACTGTGATTCAAACTAACACACACACACATACACACACACACTGATCCAGACACACTCACAAATACACGCACACACTGTGAATCAAACAAACACACACACTGTGATTCAAACAAACACACAAACACACACACACACACACACACACACACACACACACACACACACACACACACACACACACACACACACACACACACACTGTGACTCAAACACACACACATACACACACACACACACACACACACACACACTCTCTCACACACACACACCACACACACACACACACACCACACACACACACACACACACACAACTCTCCACACACACACACACACACACAAACACACACACACAACACACACACACACACACACACACACACACACACACGGACCAAACACACACAAAACACACACACACACAACACACACACACACCACACACACACAACACAACACACACAACCCACACAAACACACACAAACACACACACACACACACAACACACCACACACACACACACACACAACAAACACACACACCAACAACACACACACACACACACACCACACACACACACACTCTCTCACCACACACACACACACACACACACACACACACACACACACACACACACACACACACACACACACACACACACACACACACACACACACACACACACACACACACACACACACACTGTGATTCAAACACACTAATCTACATATTTATTTCTATATCTACTTAAAACCTAGAGCGACTTCTTCGTGCTGATGGTGTGTGTGTTTATATGAAACATCTGTGTATTGTTTGTAAGGAAGAGTTTGATTATTCATTTTTAACAGAAATACACAATTATTTAGTTTATTGAGAGTTTGACGTTTGTGTTTATTTGGTCTGACATTTATGTTTTTAATGTTTGACATATTCAAAATAAAAGTGCCCACAATATAGATATGATTAAAATACAATAGAGCATGTTAGTGTGGCTGTTGGCTGCATGTAGTTGTGAACAGAGGAGAAGATGGTAACTGAGGAAATAAATAACTTAAACAGCGTTTAGTTGAGACGTGGATATTTAATAAATACTTAATTTAAGACTTATTTTAACAGCTGGAGAAAAAACGATATATTTTAAAAGCTAATTAATAAATCTGAATATGACAAATAAGAAATGATTTCTAAATAATATTGAATGGATCTTTTTACTCTTGTGTGTTAATTTGCAGTTCAACCCCTGAACCAAAAGCCATTCCCGTTGATCCCACTCTGCGTCATCGCTCAGCTAACCTGACGCTGCTAAACTGCAGAAATGACGCTAAATCAAAAACAACATGTAAGTGGAAATTATTATAATCATTATTGACTGGATAGTTCTACGCATTGCTCGCTTTTGTAATTTGTTTATCAGTTTTTATTTGAATATATATCTGAGTAACTCAGTCGACATGATGTTTTGATTCGAAATTCTTTCTGTTGAAAAAATACGTTTTGACTGTTTATTTTTGGGAATTCTTTGCACATCTATATCAGCGTTAGTGTTAGCGTTAGCGTTAGTGTTAGCGTTAGCGCTAGTGTTAGCGCTAGCGTTAGCGTTAGTTAGGGTTTGTATATGTTGTGATATCAAATATACCTTCAGGACGAGGGTAATTACAACAATGGTCGTAAAACAATATTGAAATTAGAGTTCAATGTTTAAATCATTTCAGGTATAAACATACTGATCTAATCCTGGAGAAGCTTTATCGAACTGTCCCTTCTGTGTTTAAGACTTTGACCGACTTTACCAAGAACCAGAAATACACCGTTCTCTGTTTGGTTCAAATGTCATATTTCATACATTACAAGCCGCCTCACTTCATAATTGATCATTTATCAACAATAAAAAAAACGTTTCACTTGTTCTTAATCAACAGAACGACGCGTCAGTGATCATTGAATGAAGTAACAGCTGTTCATTAAAGTACCTGCCATGTTGTTTTGTTCACCTGTTAATTGGTTAATTGAATTATTGATTCAGATATTGTTAAATCTTACTGATGTGTATTTGCAGATCGGATCCTCGTCCGAATGTTACTTTCCCCGTCCCGTCGTTCACACACTGAGACGCTACGCTACAAAAACATCGTGCCAGATATTGATGCTAGAAACCTCACATTTCTCTGGAGACTCGGGTTGGACAGAAACTCAGATTCAGATCAGACCGCTTTTAGCTTTCAAAAGATCTTTTTTCAATTTTGAATCCAGGATATTTTAACGTGAACACAAAGATTTTAGCATTGGTTTTCAAAATGAGAAAAGAGATCTGTCTTGTGTTAAATATATCTGAATCTCTCAGTGAGTAAAGCTTAAATCCTAATTTCACTTAACTGGGACTTTACCGATTTTAATTTCACAAGATATTTCAGCTCTCTTAGAATAATCCTCTCTGTTCCTGCTGTCTTGTTGCCACTTGTCTTCAGTCTGATGTTGCTATGAAGCACCTGAAGCCCAAACGTTTAAGAAAACAACTATAGAGTTAGGGTTAATCCCATGGATGAACAAAGAATAAAGTATATTTCATTCCTACTAGTTTGTACGAAGAGTCTGGTTCGTTTTGAGTGCCTAAAAGATTAAGATCATTTTTCCAATTTGCATCCAGAATATTTTAACAAAGATTTTAGCATTGCTTTTAGAAACTACAAGATGAATTCTTAACAGATCTGAATCAGTTAACATTTTAAAATGCTCAGTGTGGAAAGCTTCAATCCTGATTTCACTGGGACGTTTAGAGATTATAAAATATTCCAGGTGTTGAATAATCTTCTCTCTTCAATTACTTTAAAAAAGCACATCTAAGTTCCTGCTGTCTTCACTTTGATGTTGCTATGAAACACCGTGAAGCCCACACTTTGAAGAAAACTATTATAGACACAACGCTACTGCCCTTCCCAACAAAACAAATGATAAAGTGTATTTCATTCCTACTGGTTTGTACGAAGAGTCTGCTTCCCCTCCCGAAGATGAGTTTGCGCGTGCCGTCATTCACACCGAGCGTTACGCTGTTTCAAAAACCTCCGAGACTCTAAACTCTAGAAAATATAACGCCTGAACATAAAGACCAGAAATACTAGCAGCCCTAAAGTCTACGTTAGTCGCATGTTTTCATTGTTATTTAACAATCAGTAAGTGTTGAATCAGAAAAGGTGAAATGATGGTGTCATTTTAAACGTACACACATTTCCAACCATCTAAATGATATCAAATCTTCTGCGTTGATATTACCTGTAAATTAAATGTGAATTAACACGTTTATTCAATCTAGATTCATAAATGGAGCGTTGAGATCTCCAGAGACATGCAATAACCGTATAAATACAATACATTCAAACATCAGTAACATCGTTAACGTCTAGTTAACACTTGTTATCTAGTCATTAACTAATAAGAAGTACAGTTATCAATCAGGACGGATATAAAGTTGAACATCTAATGTAGTCACAGTTCAGTTAAATGTGAATTAATACTGTGTTTATGAAAGTGATACAATTGACAGTTTTAAACAGAAATGCAAGTGTTGATAACTGCAAAGAATATATAGTAAATACAATAGATAACTAATACCGTTAACGTCGACTCAACGCTGTGATAATGAGTGCAGTTTGACATCAGAACAGCTAGAATGATGGTGTTATCGTTAAACCTAAACATAGTTTTGACGGTTTGAACAGGAATATTAGAGTTGACTGTCGACTATAACTCTGATTTGTTTTTTATTAAATACGGCGATTACTTTGACCGTTTAGTTGTTTATGTTTTAGAATTGTTTATTTCTACTTCTACTACTATTCTACTTCTTATGTGCAATGCCTTGTTTTGGTTTATGCTGCAACACAACATGTCCCAACTTGGGATTAATAAAGTACATCATATCTGATTCATCTTTTCTCATCTGATTGAAACTAAGCCCAGGCTCAGCGTGGACTCACAGACTCACTCGCGTTGATGATCAGTTTGGTTCCGGATCCAAAAGTCACTTTGTTGTTTCCGTAATTCACACAGTGTCGCCGTCCAGGACGAAAACACTCCAGTGACTTTAGGGCGAGTTCCGTCTACTAGGATCCGTTTTCAGACCAGAATTAATATTAAACTGTGATGTTCCTTATTTAAAGCTTCTCTAATGATTGGGTGGATTTTATTTTAATTTAAGCGACTCTTAAAATAAATCGGGGGATAGATTTGTTTCATTTGTATCAAGACGTATAAATCCAGTTTCTTAAGTCACACTATTTAACACTTAAAACATATATTAACAGCCACACTTCCTTCACTGATTAACAGCACTTTCTGGAACAATTCACAATAGCAAGTCAAATGAATTCAACTCCAAAAAATAAATAACACGAACAATAACCGGGCGTATTCGTCAGAATAAAAGATAGCAGTGTATGCTGAGGATGCCATTGTATACATCAACAAATAAACAATACAACATATTTATATG